TTGATCTGGAGGTAGTTCAGCTGGCACCAGTCCACAAAGTCTTGGGTCAGACCTCTGTACTCCCTGTCGTCCCCATCAGTGATGAGGCCGACTATTGCAGAGTCATCAGAGAACTTCTGCAGGAAGCACTGGGTGGAATTGTGGGAGAAGTCTGCAGTGTAGATGGTGAAGAGGAACGGAGCCAGAACCGTTCCCTGTGGGGCCCCACAGGGAGTCTTGAAGCCCTTCAGCAAAAACAGTTGACAAGAAGTCCGGCTCAAGTTTTGGGGTTTCGTTAAAAAACAAATTCAAAGTGGGGATTATTTACAAGTCATGCTGTGTCAAGAAAATAGAAGCAGCTTGTTTAATGTCCTTTCACAAAACAATGCCTTGCAGCCACAAATATGTGTATAAGTGAGAATATCCTGGCTGTTTTTGCTTACACGTTACTATGACTAATATCAAAAAGTCTAATCTCTGAGGAAGTCATTCGATTGATTGTGACATTTATCAAAACAGAAGTACATGTTCACAGCTGTAATCAGCCCACAGAGATTACTCAGGAGTGCCGACTAGATGCGTCACGGTTGGTAAAAAAATGTTTGATATAAGCCACACATTTGACGCTGAATCTAAATCCATTTGTCTGAATGGAAAGATCCTCCAGCTCTTGTAATCATTTTCAAAATTACATGTACTTTAGTCTTACTCTCAATACGAGGGGTAAAAGATGACGCTGCCTGTAAAACCAAAAACAACTTGACGAGGACATCTGGTCTTTTGGAGGCCTACAGCAGATTTTTTTGGTGGTTGAAAGAGGAAGGAACCACAATCCCGCATCTAGGTGACAGAATTCAGATAATGAGAAATAATTTAAACATACACTGCTCAATTTTTCCTAAACAAGATGCCTTTTATAAAATCATACTTTTGATGTGCTTCCATACAACAGCGGGAAATAAAGAATTGGCACACAAAAAAAAAAAAAATCATACAAGCATTCGGCAAAAAACTTTTGTTTGTTTGACAGTAAAGCGTCTGCAATCAGTCTTCTTCAGCGACCATTCACTGTATGTAAACGTACGCTGAGGCTATGTAAACAATTGAGCGTTCATTAAATGCAGACGTCTGGAAGAGTTTATTTTCATAACCCTCTTCTATGTTTTTTGATTATATATTACCTAACCTTAACTGAGTCTTTGACATGCACACTATAATAAATTATAATTTAAACAGCACAGCAATTCAATTAATTGTTTTTTTATTTAATAAAAATGATTTAATATTGAAAGTTTTTCTCAACAGAAAAAAAGAAGTGTAGTTAGAGTCCATTCATAACAAAGGTCCTTACATATACAGCCCCATTCTGGGCCCTTGCACCGTGGGCATAAGCTTTAAATTATGCTTCCTTCTGGCAAGTCTTCCTAAGCTAACAGGGAGGGGGCAGAGGATCGTGTTACCTGCTCTTGGGTCTGGGGAAACTAGTGCATTAAGTGATTTTTTTGTACACAGTGCAGAGCTGTGACATAAGAATAATAATAACTAAACATCTCTGAGACGTAATATTAAATGATCCAAGAAATCTACTAGCATCACAATAACAGTATGGCGTGACAACAGGGTATGACATCATATTCTGAAAACAGGAAATGACACATCTGTATCATATGTCAGAATTCTAAATCCTAGCTGAGACACAGCATCCATTAAAATGCTTCATCCAACAGCCCACATCCCTAAGATATTAAAACTATTGCTGGAAATTTAAAAAATAAAATAAATTAAAAAGCAGTAAAAGCAGGGCATATTTTTACATGTTTGTTTTCTCTTTGGCTGGCTGGGTGATAAGATTATGGCTGATAATATAAGCAGAGGGACATTTTTCTGGCCGATTCAATCTCAAATCAAACTAATAAAACAGAGCTGTTATCGATTCCACCTGTGTTCTCCGTACTTTTAAAGTAGGGAATTTATAGTCAAAATGTCTATAAATCAAAAACTACAATAGCTGGAAAACATTCCACATTTCCAACACAGTCAGGATCATTAAATGACATCACAACATCAATCTTTTCACATTCAGCTTTCTTTCAAAACATGAGGTGACCACAGATATTAGGTATTCACCATTCCTATTATATTGTACAAAGCTCTTTCTCTTCTTTTTATTACTTTCTGCCCCAAAGTGTGCAGGAAAGTTCAGTATTTATCTCCACTTGTGTGAACAGAGAACATCTGGGTTCAGCACCACATGGACAATTAAATTAGTTTTGTAAATTTGCTTTTTGAACACCACCACAGTAGGGCTGCCACGATTAGTCGACTAGTCACGATTACGTCGACTATTAAAATTGTCGATGACTAATTTAATAGTCGACGCGTCGTTTGACGCTTTGTAAGATCCCAAAAGACGCAGGAATAAGTTGTAGGATTTAAGAGTGTAATAACGCACTGAAACAGAAGATGGCAGCACTGTATGTACAAGGATGCCAGCTGCCCTTAAATCCCGAAGAAGAAGAAAAAACTGTGTCCCAGAATTCATAGCGCGGCCCAGCTCAGTTGTC